AGGGCCGCCATCAGAAAATTTGGGGCCCATGACAAAGCACAAGGTCTGGGCCCCCCCACCCTCCTCGCGGGCCCGCCCACGCCCTACCTAGTCCGCTCACAATGATGCAGGACTGAATGTGGTGTGTGTATAGTGGAAGTGAATTAGAATGTGTGTAATGGATGTAGTGTTTGTGTGTATTAGATACTGTTTGTGCAATGAATGCAGAGTGTGTGGTGTAGCGGATGCAGTGTGTATAGTGAACGCAGAGTGTTTGAGTAGTGGATGTAGTGTGTGTACAGTGATGTAGTGTGTGTTTGTGTAGTGGATGTAGTGTTTGTATGTACTAGATGAAATGTGTTTAGTGGATGCAGTGTCTGTAGTGTGTGTATCAGACGCAGTGTCTGTAGTGTGTGTATCAGACGCAGTGTCTGTGTATAGTGAATGCAGAGTGTTTCAATTTGTGGTGGATGTAGTGTGTGTACTGTGAATACAGGATGTTTGTGTAGTGGATGCTGTGTGTACAGTTAATGCAGAGTGTATGTTAGTGTAGTGAATGCAGAGTGTGTCAGTATAGTGAATCCAGAGTGTGTGCATAGTTTAGTGAATGCAGAGTGTGTGTTAGTGTGTAATGAATGCAGAGTGTGTGTTAGTGTGTAGTGAATGCAGAGTGTGTCAGTGTAATGAATGTAGTGTGTGTGTTAGTGCAGTGAATGCATAGTGTGTGTAAATTTGTAGTGAATGCAGAGAGTGTGTTAGTATGTAGCGGATGCAGAGTGTGTGTTAGTGTAGTGAATGCAGTGTTAATGTGTAGTGAATGCAGAGAGTGTGTTAGTGTGTAGCGGATGCAGAGTGTGTGTTAGTGTAGCGGATGCAGTGTGTGTTGCGTTAGTGTATGCAGTGTGTGTGTGTGTTAGTGTATGCAGTGTGTGTGTGTTGTGTTATTGTATGCAGTGTGTGTTAGTGTATGCAGTGTGTGTGCTGTGTTAGTGAATGCAGTGTGTGTTGTGTTAGTGTATGCAGTGTATGTGTGTGTTAGTGTATGCAGTGTGTGTTGTTAGTGTATGCAGTGTGTGTTGTGTTAGTGAATGCAGTGTGTGTGTGAGTGTATGCAGTGTATGTGTGTGTTAGTGTATGCAGTGTATGTGTGTGTTATTGTATGCAGTGTGTGTTGTTATTGTATGCAGTATGTGTGTGTTATTGTATGCAGTGTGTGTGTTAGTGTATGCAGTGTGTGTGTGTGTTATTGTATGCAGTGTGTGTGTTAGTGTATGCAGTGTGTGTGTGTGTTATTGTATGTGTTGTTAGTGTGTGATCTGGGGTGAGGGGGAGGAAGGGGCATTTTAACATTAATTTTTTATTAAATGTTTCTCCCCCCTCCCTGCTTACCTGTGTCCATGGAGGGGGGAGATTCCATCCCTGGTGGTCCGGTGGGGGGCCCCCGGCTCCCTGTTACCGCAGAGGGGGCCCAGGCAGCACACAGCTTCTCCTCTCTTCTCATAACTCTCAGGAGACCCGGTTACCATGGCAACGCTTCGCGAGAGTTATGAGAAGAGAGAAGACAGGAGGAGAAGCTGTGTGCTGCCTGGCTGGGCCCCCTCTGCGGTAACAGGGAGCAGGGGGCTCGCGGCTGCACACATAGATAGCGATATTCGCTATCTATGTGTGCAGAAAGGGAAAGTGGGGCCCAGGACTGCCAGAGCAGTCCGGGCCCCCCAGGGCCGCCGGGCCCGTGACAACTGTCACGGTTGTCACCCCCTGATGGCGGCCCTGTCTGTGTGGCATGTTTTTGGAAGTGTGTGATAATCTGAGAGGTGTAGTCACTACAACTATGAATATTTTAGTGCACAAATGGCAAAATAACTGATGTGGAATAATTGTACGACGTAGGTATGAGTAAAACATGCCTATTTAAGCCTGAATTTATTAAATCTGGTGAAATTCAGAGGTTAGTGAATAAACGTGCAAGAGTGTGCATTTTTTAAACCAAAAAGAGATGAAAGTGCAATTTATGTCCAAATCACTATCATAAATGAATAATAACAAAAAGCTACGCTGATTATACAAGCTACTAGCATAAAAAGTTATCTCTAATGAACACTTGAAAATATAATTAAAGGAACACTATAGTCCCCTAAATTACTTTAGCTAAATAAAGCAGTTTTAGTGTATAGATCATTCCCCTGCAATTTCACTGCTCAATTCACTGTCATTTAGGAGTTAAATCACGTTGTTTCTGTTTATGCAGCCCTAGCCACACCTCCCCTGGCTATGATTGACAGAGCCTGCATGAAATAAAAAACTGGTTTCACTTTCAAACAGATGTAATTTACCTTAAATAATTGTATCTCAATGCTCTAAATTGAACTTTAATCACATACAGGAGGCTCTTGCAGGGTCTAGCAAGCTATTAACATAGCAGGGGATAAGAAAATCTTAATTAAACAGAACTTGCAATAAAGAAAGCCTTAATAGGGCTCTCTTTACAGGAAGTGTTTATGGAAGGCTGTGCAAGTCACATGCAGGGAGGTGTGACTAGGGTTCATAAACAAAGGGATTTAACTCCTAAATGGCAGAGGATTGAGCAGTGAGGCTGCAGGGGCATGTTCTATACACCAAAACTGCTTCATTAAGCTAAAGTTGTTCAGGTGACTATAGTGTCCCTTTAATGTGATGTCAGGACTACAAAATCCAATAATTAGAACTAGTGGTATAACTACAGATAAAATGAACCAATATTAGCAATGATATAAAAAGAAACAAAATGTCCTGTAAAATGTATCACAATTCAACCAAACATATTATATATTCAAGGTAATTTCTTTGCTGCTGGGAGTTTTCAGTAAAGTGAGTCATACAAATATGAAGCTTCCTGTCATATGATAAAATTAAAGCGTTCTCAGCTCTTCAATAGTAATGATACTTGCAGATAGTGTAGCTGAAAGAAACCTGAATAGAGTATAATTTCAATATTTATTAAAGAAAGCACACTAAAATAAAACTCCCTTACACTGTATTAGTATGAGCTTATCAAAGACTCACAAAAATCTTTCAAAGATACAGACAATCTTGATAGGGTTACTAGACCGAAGATAAAAAGAAGTTATTTTTAGTGAAAAGCTGGTGAGTCCTCTCACCCACTTGTCTTATACCACCATAGTCCAAACAGCCTGTATCTATGCATTTCGCTCAGTGTATGCTTGTGTTTGGGAGTGTGTATCTGTTGTCTGTAAGGAAGTGTTTGTGTGTTTTGAGGAGTATATATGTGTGCATGTGTCTATATGTGTCTGGGAATATGTATGTGTGTGTATATGTGTGTATGCTTGGAAGTGTGTGCTCCTGTGTATGTGTGTGCGAATCTGAGAGGTGTAGTCACTCATAGAGGAGCAATGGGGACATGATGTGTATGTGCCCATTCCATCTTCTCCATAGGAAAACATTGTATTCAGTGAACCCAGAAAACCCAGCATAAAAAAAAAAAAAAACAGACACGGAATAGAAAACCAGAAAAACCAAGAAAAACTAAACAAGAATTGTAAAAAGAGTACTGCATACCAGAAGCCAAGGCCAGACATCTGCGCAGAACAGAACAGAATGTGACAAAAACCCAGTCTGAAGCGCTTCCAATTTTGCAACAAACTAGGAAAAAAATTCCTTCTTGACCCCAAAATAGCAGTCAGATGTCTCCTTGGATCAAGCAGCTTTTACCCCACTCAAGCAAAAGCATAGTAAAACATGCCCCAAACACTCCCACAACACGCCCGGAGTCTTTGTGTCTCGGAGTTAATTTAGTGTACTTTGCTTAAACTAATTATCTCCCAGGCATTAGAGTTCCAAAGTATAAAACATAAAATATTAAAAATATACATAATATATATATGAACCCCCACAAGCATTATATCCCAGGATATCCTGGATCTGAGCACCCAAGTTGTCCAAATAGCGCTCAGATCCCACGAACACAGACAAATTGCCACCAGGGTAGAGTTTTGGCCAACCACCCACGTAGCGTCTGCCCAAATTAGTTCCAGAGAAATAGTGGTAGCGGTCAGTCACTTTCAGGAGTTCAGAACCAAACAAAATGTCGAATGGTTCCCCTGGCTCATAGGTAGCGATTGTTTGCCTAGTTCGTGCAAGCAATCCTAACAAACAGCGCTCTCCTGTCTTGTTGGGAAAAGAAGAAGGCATTTGTGTAAAATCACCGGTGTTCAAACGGTCGAGTATCTGACTTACAGTTCCATACACTCGACGACCAAGTCCCGCTGCCTGCGTTCGTGCAATAAGATGGCCGCCATTTTCTTCAGCACATGTTGTTTGGTTATATGAACGGCGGCCACACAGGTAGAGTACTTAAGTCTGTGGTTTCTTTGAAGTTCAATGAGCCAGAGGGTGGTCGGTGGTTGGTGTTCGGTAGATTCATTTACTGAGCACAGGGGAAGTAACTGGGATAATAAAACACAGTATTTTGTCACAGGGCGTAAGGTAAGGGTCTTAGCATTAGAGAGTACTTGCCTTCCAGATACTGTGGGCTTTAAATAAAATCACTCACATCTGGGCTGATGGGAGCTATAATCCTCAAATCTTGAAGTCAGGTACCCCTTAACAATATGTCCCCCTTAACCCAAAGCTTCCTATTCTTAAGTTCCCCTTAATCATGTCTTTGTATCCTTAAAAGGCAACTGTCACTTACAAAGATCTCTAATATTTAGTTTACGTATTTTTTTTAAAGATAATATGTGTTTGTTGGGTTTGAAAAATGAAGTTGAATGTAGAAATCCAGACCTTGTTTAGCTCTCTTGGAACTGTAATACATTCTACCTCTCACCTATGTCTGGGTGCACAGGTCCTTCCCATTTTAAATAATTTTACCCTTAACCCAAAGCACAGGGAAGGGGGTGAGTAGAGTAGGGCAGTTATGTCGTTCTCTGCTTCATTTTAACAATACTGTAAACCAAATTACAAGAAGAGAGCTTGGGTAGTTAGCATCCAAGAGCAGTGTTGTAATATAGAGTTTGTTGAACATGGTGAGACTGAGAGATGTGTTAAAGAGTGAAGCAGAAAGGTACACGAAAGGACTGGTGGATATTTAGTAACCTCCCATGTAGAATACTAGAGCATAAACTCCAGGCAGTGTAGTTATAGTGGCTGCCATTAACATAGTAATGTCATATTTTTTTTTAAATCTTTTTAGAAACCGGTTGAAGATGCAATAATAAATCATAATTGATACTGAATTATTATTTTTATTAGATGGAAATTTTTATTTTTAATCGATTAAAAAAAATCATAATAAATACAGCAAAAAACAAATGTGAGGAAGGCTGAACTTGATGGACGCAAATCTCTTTTCAGCTATGTAACTATGTAACTATGTAATTGTATTACTTTTTAGATAGAAAACCTTAATGTTCCCTTAAAATCTTAATATTTTATTCCCTTACACAGGTAACTGCAACTGACAGTGTCACTAATGAATTAGCTACCACGTCAGTCACAGTGGAGATCACCCCAGGTAGGATTTCCTGAACAAATAATTTATTCTATTCTTGATTTTAAAAAATGAAAATAAATATTCTTACAACTGAACTCCATCCAACAGTTGTAATTCATATGTCAATGCTTTAAATGGGCATTCTAGAACCCTATTGCACTTCAGCTTGATTAAAAGCTTTATTTGTGAAGAGTCCTCTTCTTTTCCATTTTATAAAAAGTACAAATTTCAACAGAAATACTTAATTTTATGAATTAACCTTGCAACCTTGCCACCACACCCCTCTGGTTGTCAATCAAACAACCAGTCCTTTAACTTCCTGGTTGTTTAGCTCAGTTGAGCAAAATTCAAAAGGCAGGTACTTGCTCAGATCACCGTCTTGCAAAGACTTCTCATTGAGCTGCACTGGAAAGTTTTTGATTGGACAGACACAGATAGCCTGGGCTGGGTTAGGAGGGGAGGGCTTGCAAAGGCTGCAAACAAGAGTTCTGCAGCTTTTACAAGCTACTTTAGATATACCTTTTGTAAAATAAAAAATGCATAATTAAATATGTGTATATTTGGGAATATTTGCTTAACAGTGATTCATATTTGGGAAGTGCAGTGTTTCTTAACCATCAAACTTATGTTTCTGTCCATCAAACGTATGTTTCATATCATGGATCATTATACAGTAATAAGAGATAATATCATGAATAGAAAAAAAATACAGATAGAAATTTTATGAAATACTCATTTTGATTGTGTTGGAATTTCACTGAGATTTCCAACCAGTCAAGAGATGTACTGAGACTAAGTATGGACTACTTTGTCTCTGTATATTTCCTCCATCTGACTTTTTTAGACTCTGGGCAGAAGTACAGTGTCAACCTCGACAGCTGCCACCAGTGTTGGCTGCAGGGAATTGGCTCTGCCTATCATGGTCTCACAGGATCCTCCATAGACCTCCACGGTGTACTTTGGCTAATGAAGAGGAGCCACCGGAACAAGATGGGAGCAAGAAGTAAATCTCACCTTTACTTGCCTTCGCCAGGGCAACGGAACCCCAGTGATAATGTCACCGTTGGTGGTCTTTGCGAATTGGGCAAAGTCCCCAGACAGTGACAGTGCTGCTTTCACAGTTATCAATTCTATCCTAAGTTTCACTATCAATGATGTCGAACCTGGATGTCAATAACTGGCTGAGATGACTGGGTTAACCAGACCCCAAAGTATTCAGCCTTTCGTTACATCAAGGTTGAACTGAATTGATATTGATCATGTGGATCATGCATTTCTTTAAGTCAGAAGGTAGCTTAGTGTGAGATTTCTCATTTTTAATGTAACAAATTGATCATAATTGATACAAACTATTTTAGGGGTGCTCTTTAATTTAAACAATCTTAAAATCCTCCCCTTTGCTGTTTTTGGCTTACAACTCCCACAGTAGCAGTACCTGGAAAAGGCCATAAAATAGTTAATATTTCTGGACATCATCATTAGTAAATTGTTTGCTGTTTTATCTTGAAATTGCTGTGAGAGGAAAATACTGAAGTAGAATTGATTATTAAAATACATTTGCTTACACTGATAGGTTCATTTCTGCACAATTAGGTTCACTGATCAACTGATAATAAGTAACCATTAGAGGGAAAACGAGAGGTAGCAATAAAAAAATATATTTTTATATATTCTATATTTATTAAATATATGATATATAAATATAGTTTGAGGGATTTTTGTTTTTATTCTTCCTCCTTTTTTTGCATCCGTTGTTCACTTCTCACTTGATCTGTGAATAAAATCAACATTTAGTGGCTGTCCTAAAACCATCATTTATCTTGTTTTTTGGCGCCATGGTTAGAAATCCGAGTCACAAATCAAACAAAACGGTTTGTTAATTGTCGTTTTGTTTGCCTCGTGATTCATCCATATGAAAGTCTATTTCAGCGTTACGGAATATAAAAGACCCGCCAATTGCCCAAAATTTGGACAAATTGCAATTAGTTTGAAACCAAAAGCACGTGTCTAATCTTTGGTATTATAAAATTAATTATCACAATGATGTCTATAGAAATATGTACAGTCAGTGAAACTATATAGTACAACAGGAGTAATATGCTGCCATTCCTAAGCAAAGTTGATACTGCCAGATATAAGATTATGGAATACATTCTTAAAATCTCTTAATTTTTATTTAGGCATCACCACACCTGCACCAACTACTACTACTCCTATGATAAGTACTACTACTGGAACACGCAGTACTACAAGTTCTATTATTGGAACAGGCACCACTACAAGTGCCACTCCTGGAACAGGGACAACAATAAAAACCACTTCTGGAACAGGTACCACTACAAGTACCACTCCTGGAACAGGGACAACAATAAGAACCACTTCTGGAACAGGTACCACTACAAGTACCACTCCTGGGACAGGAACCACTACACGTACAACTCCGGGAACAGGAACCACTATAAGTACAACTCCTGGAACAGGGACAACAATAAAAAACACTCCTGGAACAGGTACCACTGGAAGCACCACTCCTGGAACAGGAACTACAATAAGAACCACTTCTGGAACAGGAACCACTACAAGTACAACTCCTAGAACAGGAACAACAATAAAAACCACTTCTGGAACAGGTACCACTACAAGTATCACTTCTGGAACAGGAACCACTACAAGTACAACTCGTGGAACAGGAACAACAATAAAACCGACTACTGGAACAGGCACCACTAGAAATATTACTCCAGGAATAGGCACCACTGCTAGTACTACTCGAGGAACAGGCACAACTACAAGTACAACTTCTGGAACAGGCACCACTACACATACCACTCCTACTACACGTGGAACAGGTTCAACTACAAGTACCACTCCTAGAACAGGAACAACAATAAGTATCACTCCTGGAACAGGCACCTCTACAAGTACCACTCCAGGAACAGGCACTACCACAAGTACTACTCCTAGAACAGGCACAACTACAAATAAAGTTCCTGTAACAGGAGCAGCTTCAAGTACTACTTCTGGCACAGGCACAACAACAAGTACCACTAGAGGAACAGGCACCACAACAACTATAGCTCTTGGAACAGGCACAACTAGAAGTACAACTCCAGGAACAGGCTCCACCATAAGTACCACTCCTGGGACAGGCACCACTAAAAGTGTAATTACTGGAACAGACACAGCTACAAGTGTCAGTACTGGAACAGGTATGACTGCAAGTACAGCTAACGAAAAAAACAACCCTACAAGCACCCTTACTTACCACTTCTACTACTAATCCTTTTATTGGTACCACTGCTAGTACCGTATCTAGAAGCAGTACCAATATATATATATATATATATATATATATATATATATATACCATACCTGAAAAATAGACCATAATCAATAACACCTCTGGGAGAAGCACCAAATGAAGCCTGGCATAATGATCGCTATTAGTATAACAGGCACATCTTGGCATTTCTAATAGCACTGAAACAGGCACCATTGTGTCTAGTCTAGAATCCAATGCAGTTAGGAGATGAAGGCCTCATGCTAGTTTGTTGAGAATCTTTCTTCCTTGCTTTCAATGGTGGGGAGAAAGAGCATAGAGGAAGCTTGACCAATCAGTGGTGGATGGATGAGGGAGGCTGGTTCTCCAATACAATGGTCTCCTCACTATCTTACTCACACAGGGCCGGTGCAAGAATTTTTGGCTACACAGACGAAGATGAATTTTTCCGCCCCGCCCTGCCCCCCCTAATTTTCACCCAAAAATGCATCTTCAGCTGTGTGTCTCTTAATTCCCTCCTTGAATTTCTTATCTGCTTTTGTGTTTCTTATCTATTCTTTTGAAAGTCTTACCCCCTTTAGTGCATCTTATCCCTATTTTGTCTTACACTCCCTTTAGTATATCTTATTCCCCCCATTTTTTCCATCTGTGTGTCTTTCTCCCACCAGCCCCTTTGTGTTTCTCTTTCTCCCCCAGCACCTTTGTGTGTCTTTCTACACCATACTTTTCATGTGACTCTTCTCCCCTTCCTCAGCTTCTCTGTGTCTCTTCCCCTCCCCAGCTTCTTTCTGTCTTTCTCTCCCTTTCCCCATCCCTTCTGTGTGTCTCTTCACCAAGCCCCTTTTCTGCATCTCTTTCTCCCCTTCCAAAAGCCATGTCTTTTTCTCCCCTCAGCCACTTTTGTCTATCCTTTTCTCTCTTTGTCTCATTATTCTCCTAGTCCCTCTGAGTGTCTCTTCCCTCCCAGCACATTTTCTCTTACTCCCCACAGTCGATCTGTGTCCCCCTAGCTCCTCTGTCTCTTTTACCCCTGCCCCAGCCCCTGTCTGTCTATTTTGCCCTTCCCCTTTCTGTCTCTTTTGCCCCTACTCCAGCCTCTCTGTATCTCTTTCTGCGTTCACTCACCACTGGACCACCAGGGATGATGTCACCGTGCCGGTCCCCCTCCTCCCAGCTACCACGTGCCTGTCCCCCCTCCCAGGCTAAAGGTCAGAGGGAGGGGGGGATTTAATGCCTACTTAGTTTTTTTTTAATTTCTTTATTTACCCCCACACACACACACACATTTATACACAGCACTCTCACACATCACACTCTGCACTCTCACACATCACACTCAGCACTCTCACACACATCATACACAGCACTCTCACACACATCATACACAGCACTCTCACATTCAGCACTCTCACACACATCATACACAGCACTCTCACAATCTGCACTCTCACACACATCACACTCTGCACTCTCACACACATCACACTCTGCACTCTCATACATAACACACACAGCACTATTTTACACACAACAAACACAGCACTGTCACACACAACACTCTCACACAGCACTCTCACACTCATACACAGCACTATCACACACAACACTCTCACACACAGCACTCAGCACTCTCACACATCACTCTCAAACACATAACACTCAGCACTCACACTCAGCACTCACAACACTCTCACACACATCATACACAGCACCCACACACACAGCACCCTCACACAAATCAATCACATACAGCACCCACACATACAGCACCCTCACACAGCACCCACACCTCACACACAGGATCCATCACACACACATACTGCACCCCTCACATACACACACAACCCCCCGATACACTGCATCACACACATACACAATACTTCAAAACATATTTATATAATATATATACACATATAAATATACACACAGCACCCCTCACACACACACACACACAGCACCCCTAAACACATTTCATTCCAGACACACATTAGATCCTCTACCCAACTCTGGATCATCTACACACATACACACACTAGATCCCTATATACACTCTGAATCCATTATATACGCATGCTCACTAGATCTCCTATACATATTCTGGGTCCTTCAAAAAACACACATACACTCTGGATCCCCTATACGCACACTAGATTCCTTGTAAGCAAACACATACTACATTCCCTGAACACACACTCTCTACAAACACTACATCACCTACACACACACACACTATAGCCTGTATACACACACTTGCTACATCCCCTAAACACACATTCTCTAAAGCCCCAGCCACATATGCATTACATTACACCACAAACACAACACGACTAAAACCGACCTTATTACACAATACCACACCACGACCAGCTCACTCTGCACACATGCAATACCCCAAGCAGGCTCCAAACACATTTACAATACTCTTTCCTGGCCCTTTTGTCTTCTGGTATCCATTTATAGAGACACCAGAGACAAGTTGCAAGGAAACACAGTGCAAGCATGTTATTGAATTTGCTTGCACTGTGCAGAACAAATACAGGGCTTTTTTCTTGCATGGTCTGCCCTGGAAGAGCATTGAACCAACATGCTCACTTTGAGAGGGGGCGTGTTTGTCATGAGTGATGACAAAACACA